ACGCCCGCCCCCGCCCCCCCCGGGCGCCCGCCCCCGCCATAGCCTCAAGCGATTGACCACCGGCCTTCGCGTTCTGCGCGCGCACGCCTTCCAAACCGACCGGCCCGGCCCAGGCGAAGGCGGCTAGAGGCCGCGAGCCTACCCGCTAACCAGAGAGCCAATCCGGCGCGTGCCGTCGGCTGCGAAAGTAGGAGGTGCTACCCTGCCAACGAACTCCTCGCCTGTTGCCGGCAAGGGCAGGCGGAAATGAACGCTTTTGTTTGGTGGCGCTTGTTGTACGGAGGCGTCAGGAAGTACTGCTCCTGATCTTAAATTTTCGAGTAGGGCAGGGGCGAGAACAATCTAAGTCCTTTGTCGAAGCTGGCTTCTCGGTCAACAGGCCTGTTATTTATTTTATTTTAATGTCATGCGGAATGGAGCAGGGCCTTGAACGTGAGTCGGACATTTTGGATGAGGGCACCGCCGGGCGTGAGAAAGAGGACGCTGCCCTAAACGCATGCGCAAAAACTTCACCTGTCAAGGGAGAGCGCTAAAAAGACCGAGCAGTTTTTCTTTGCCGGAAGAGAGCGTTGGTATCGGGAGAAATTGGTTTCCTTCCTTTGAGGTAATGCAAGTATGGGGTGAAGTAGGGAGGTGGTGGCTGGGTTAAGGTCGCTGTCTTATTACGCACTTATTTGGGAGATATTGTATGTATTTATTCAACGGCCTACTCTCGAACAGGCATTGTGTTTATACAGACTGCAGGATACTTGGTGCCTGAGGATTAAATTTGCACTGGAAAATATTAGTGTCCTAAATCAGTTAACACCTGATTGAGATGGCGTGTTGGGTTTATATTTAAGAAAGAACATTTTTAAATAATCAAAAGCATTTCCAGATTGCTTTTTCTATTTTTCTAACAAAACAGCTACCTAATCGGTTTAAAAAAAATCTAAAAAATTATTGTGCTGTATTCCCCCCCTTCAGTGTATATATAGTATCTATTGATCAAAAACCTATCTACCTATTTGTCTGCCTAAACCTAGCCAAGTCCACAATTCTTCCTGTCCTGAAGCTTACTGGGCAGTAAGATAGGTTATTTTTTATTTTAGTTTACCAAGGCTACTCCTTTCCTCTGATTGTCTTTATGTGAACACAGTGCCAAGGGGCATCTTGGAAAAAGAAAGGAAGCTAGTTGATGCAAGTGCTAAAAGGTGCAAGGAGCCTACATGTATTATGGGGAATGCAATAATTACAATAAGAATACGTTGATTGTAAGGCCATTTTACCTGAATGCCAATATGCTGGAATTTACATGTTTAAGTTTTTAAACCAATATGTGCTTTACTTGGATAAGTTAATCTAAAAACACAATACAGTCATCCTTTGATGCTCCATTCCTCAATTTATATCAAAACAAAATGTTACCCTGCTGATCAATTTTTTTTTTCCAGTCAGCCTTGAGATATGATGGCAGAGAAGTGGACCAATGGACATTCTTCTTCAATACTAAGTTTAAATGTGAGCAAAGATGGTCTGTTGGCTTCAGGAGCAGAAGGAGGGGAGCTCACAATTTGGAATACTGAAGGAAATCCATTAGAATGTGTACAACTTCAAAAAGCAGATGATGTCACTAGTGTTGTATTCTCTCCCACTTGTTCTAGAAGGCTCTATGCTTCTCATGGGGAGATTATTAGCACGCTGGATACCAGATATCTCAAGGAGCCAGTTGACTGTTTCCATGTAAATGAGGAAGAGATCAATTGTCTTTCAGTTAATGAAACAGACAGCTTCTTGGCTGCTGCAGATGATTCTGGAGCAATAAAGATAATTGACTTACAAAGCAAGAAGTTGAGTCGCTGCCTGCAACGACATTCAAATATTTGTGCATCTACTGCGTTTCGACCCCAGAGACCTCAAGGCCTTCTTTCGTGTGGTCTGGATATGAAGGTGATCAGCAGTAGATGAAAGCTTACATATATATTTATTAGGTGTATATATGTGCAAAGATATTTAATATATATTATCTTAATGTTTTATATTTATTCATCTGAGTCTTGTAGTCTGCTAATTATAGTAATCATCACATTAATTGTTCAGAAAATGGACTATTTTCTTTAGAAGTATAAAATGGGTCAGCTAACCAGATTTAAAAATTGCTTTTTGAAAGTTAACTTGCTTAGAATTCCAACATCAGCTGCACAATTAAATCTAATGCTCAAGTAGTAGGTAAGATTTCAGCATTATTTCCCAATTGAAAAATTACTTTGATTGATGCAGAAGACAGATTTTTTTTACAATAACTTTATTAAATTTTAAAAAGATAAAAACTAATAAGAACTAATAATCAGGAAAAAGAATAGAAGAAAAGGAAGAATAAAGAGAAAGAAGGAAACCAGAAGTGCAGAAAAAGAAACATTAAAAAAATAATGACTTCTGACTTCTTTTATAGCAGTTATAAGTAAAACATACATTAAACTCTTACTCTAAGATTACAACTTAACATCCATTTTTCTATAATCTGTTAATTTTACTAATCATTAAATCCATATATCATAATTTCATTTTTTCTGTTTCCCACAAAAAGTCCAAAAGGGGCTTCCAATTAGCTAAAATTAGTCAATGTCTTTTCTCTAATCAAAGCTGTCAATTTCATTATTTCAGCTAGCTCCATCAACTTTACCATCCATTCTTCCGTTGTAGGTAGTATCGAGTCTTTCCATCTTTGAGCATATAAAAGTCTTGCTGCAGTTATCATATATAAAAACAAAATTCCATGAGATTTTAAAGAAATGTTTATCCGTCAGCCCTGAAAGAAATGTTGCTGGTTTCAATTGTATATTAATCTTCAAAATCTTCTGAATTCATATATGTATTTGAGTCTAAAAATGTTTAGTTTTATGACATGTCCAATGGAAGACAGAAAATTCATTAAGAGTGAGAGATAAGAAAGAAAAGGATTTATATACAGCTATAAATTACTGCCACCAGAACAGACATTGTTGGCAGATCAGATTACCTTCTGCTTTATCCTTTGGAACAGATATAGGGATCTGCAGGGTCCAGAGAATGGAAAACTCACAAATGAATGAATGAATGAATGAATGAATGAATGAATGGAGATCCACTCAGTTAATATTAGATTTGGATTAGATCTTACTGAGAGCCTTCTGTAATTAAAAAAAAAGTCAATGTAAAGAAAATTATGTAGAGTTAATACTTATTTTCCACAGTGGTGCTTCCAGCTTTAATAAAAAATAATGTTACATACCTTGCTTTGTAAATAATATCCTATATAGGACTGTCTGATTTCTACAGAATGGCAATTTTTACTTATTTATCATAATTGCACCCATCTCAGTTGAAGAGACTCTTAGTGATTACAGCAATTAAGAGGAGACAATAAAACCATAAAAAACAAAAGAAATAATACAACCAGGAATCCTGTCAATCACCATAAGCCTTCTAAAATAAATTTTTCAGAAAGCTAAACTGTGGAGGCCAGCCTAATTTCTGATAGTGTCTATTCCATAACATATGTGCTGCCTCTGAAAAGCCGCACCTACAGGTCTCTATCCCGTGGGCTTTATAGTATTTTCACAGCTTAAGTCAGTGATGGCAAACCTTTGGGGCTCAGTATGCCAAAAATTCGGAAGATACCTGACTTGACACCGATGGCATGACACCATCACCCCTGAACAAAAGAGAAACAATTCTTTACATATTCATTTATTTAAAAAAATATATAGTCCAATCATGTGTGGTGCTATGTATTATATAAACAAATATCGTTTCTTTGGTAACTCAAACAGGGAGAATAGTTGTTGGGTGTTGGTGAACGCTGGCATGTCATCCAAAATGTCGTGGCATGTCACCTTTGACATGTGTCATAGGTTTGCCATCACTGGCTTAGGTAAAACCATTGTGCTAGAAGCTTATAATTTCAACATAAAATACCTTAATCAGTTTGGCAGAGAGAGATAATATATGGAGTAAATGCAGTAAAATGGTATTCTGATATAAAATTAATATTTAATATTTAAATATTAACATTTTAAATATTAATAAACCTCTTAAGAGTCCCTGAGATTGAAGCAGTTTATAAAAGTCATAAGTCATATCTAATATAAAGCCAACAGGAGCTTTTGATTTATAAAACAAAACATAATTTATGTGAGCTGCATCAGTTTTGTACTCTGGGATCACAACAATATAAATGGAAGTTTACATTTTGGACATACGTGACTTCTGTATTAAGAAACTTTATTTATTTATTTATTTATTTATTTATTTATTTATTTTGTTTACAGATTATAATGTGGAACTTGCAAAAAACTCGCCCACAGTGGATTGTGAACTTGCAAGAAGAGGAAGCAGTTGAGCAAGGGATTGGCCAACTCTTTAATCCGCCATTGGTCCATTCATTGTCTGTTTCTACTTGTGGCAGTGTCTTTGGCTGTGGAGCTGAAGATGGTAAAATCAGAATCTTTCGGGTAACAGGTGCCAGATTTGAACAGGAGGTGGCATTTAAAGGTCATTCATTAGGAGTGTCACAGATTTTCTTTCTGCCAGAAATGTATTGGTTCATTACAGGGGGAAATGATGGCAGAGTATTGTTGTGGGATGTTAGCAATGAAATTGGAAAACTGAAAAGTCCAAACAAGTCAATACACAAAAAGAAAAATGCCACCAAGAAAGTTGACAAAATGAACCCAGAGCACACAAATGGATGCTTATCCATTTCACCCAAACTGACCATTGAACATGGAGGGAAAGTGAACTGGGTTTCATATGTGTCAATTAATGGTTCTAAGAGAATATTGGTTGCTGATCAAAGTAGCGATATATCCATATATCCTATTTCTTGAACCTTAGATATATGTGGGCAGGCAATTAATACTTGGTATTTTGAAACTACTAATTTTCTGATGCATTATCCCTACTACCTCCAATAAATAAGCCAATTGTGGTTCTTCTGTGTACTACTAAAAAAATTTATTTTGGCAGTTTATACTTAGTTCATTATATCACTGTTGGGGTAACTAACTGGTATAATCTTACTGGTGAGCTTGAAAGTTATGTATATGTGAATAAAGAACTGGTTTTTAAAACGAGAAAAATGGAGACTGTCTATTTTAACATATGTTCTTGTAAATTCTACTGGCAGAAATTGATTTTTAAAATACTTGTACTCTTGTACTTAGGGTTTTTATTATGTACTTATAATAAAAACTGAGATAATAAATGGCTTGAAAGACCTGAAACAGTTCTCCAAACCTCAGTGTTTCGAAGGATCAGCAGCAGATTCAGACAATAGTGGATTGTTCAGTCGAGAATGAAGCCCCTGCTGCAGTATTCGTAGAACCTGGCCCTTTTAAGTGTTTGATGAGTTGTTTTTATCAGAAAATCCAGTATGTGGGATCTGACATTTGCTCTACTATACTGATGGCTGACATCAGGTCTATTCAAGATCATTAATGCTCAACTTTATATCTCTGGCATAAATGAGAAATTGTTATTGTTTGAAGAAAAAAATGAGAACAAAGTTTATTTTTTTCTTAAATAATTTACAAAGTAGAAAACTATAAGTTAAAAGAATTCAATTCGGCAACTGCCTTCTGTTGCCTTAATGTTTTGTGTTTGGTTTCATTTTATAAACATGTACTACATTATATGCCAGCAATAACAGAACATTTTGGTTCTTTACTGAACTAGTTTTTCATGTCTTTGAATGTACAGATGTCAGTTGGACTATAACTCACAGTTTTTAGATCTGAGCCTTAGTGGAAAGTGTTTACATGTGTCATCTTCTTTTGGCTCAAGGTATATTCTAGACAAGGTCTTTTCTCTACATCTTGATTTCTAAACAGTGCTCTTAAAAATTATACAGCAAATATAGGGTTTTTCTAGAATCTGTACTGGCACTTTTTTCAGTTTATTCCCTATTTAGTTGACATTCTCAAAATCAGAATGTTTGTGTTAGAGACTTCTGGCTTGCTACAATGCGATTGATTGATTGATTAAACTAGTATGCTGCCTGACTCCCAATGACTCAGGGTGGTTAAAGTCTCTCTTCCTCTAGCTACCAGTTGCTGTTGTTGAGGGCATCAGTAGGGAAAGGAAAAGTCTCTTCAAAGATCTTCCTTCATGATCACCTGAATTGTTGCTTCTCATGGAGATGTGAAAAAAATTGAACATTAGGTCTTATTCAAAGAGTGCTATTCCAATTCCAAAATTATTAGAATGGAGTTTAACAGACTGATGAAGACATAAAAGAAGACATAAGAGCAAGAAAGAGTTCAGGTGGAACAGAACAGATTGTATAGTTAAAAGATTTATCACTGGGGATGGCATTGAAAGCACTATATTACTTCCCTCCGCCCGAATGAAATTAATCTTTTGTAAACTATTTTGAAAGGACATTGCCCTGAAAATCAGCATATGCTTTAAATAATAGTTATGTAAAAACAAACATTTTATTAACCATCACATAATAATTATGAGGAAGACTTCAGTTGTTTTACTTTAAACATTTTCTGCCTTTAAGGAGAAGTTATTTCCCCCTCCTGATAAATGTTTAGAACATATAATGATAAGAATCAAAGTCATCTATGCAAGCTCAAAACAAGTGAATGAATAATAAAAAAGGAAAAAGACGTAATAAAAAAAACTTGAAAATATATTCTGATGGAAATCTGAGCAAAATTGTGTAATGCAGAGTGGGCGGTAGGGTTCAGTCTAGCTATTCCTTGGGACATAGTTTGGTTTCTGATTCTTCTACCAGAATACAAATAAACATTTGCATTATTTGGAGTCAGGCAACTAACAAAATCAGTCAGTTCAATACAATACCAGAACTAAAAGGTAAAATATCAATATATTTATAATTATTTTTGTTATTTATAATCTATAATTATAAATCCATTTATAATTATTTTTGTAGTGTGCTGTTTTTCCACCTACTACTAAAGCATATTTTGCATGTATGCAGAGTGGCCTTTCAAGTGTTGCTAAGCTACATCTTTCAGCGTCCCTTACTATTAGCTTATGGCTGATGTTCTTGGAAATTGAGTTCAGCAACATTTGAAGTACTGGATTTTGTGCAGTTGGAATATAGAAATTGCCATTTATTAACACATACTATATGCATTGAATGAGACCTATGGGACAAATGACTCATTTGTTTAATTGGGTTCTCTTTATCTAGTTTTAGGACTTGTGTGGAACACAGATCACATTTTATGTCACATTTATGCAGAAATATTGAACATTTAAAAGGTTCACAAACTTTTAAGCACCACTGCAAACAGATATGAATACAATATTACAAAATAGCTTAATGAAAAGAGTTATATTTAACATCCCTGATAACATCTTGATACAGAAAAGATAAGAGATTTAGGTTGGAATAAGAATCCTGGGCTCCAATTATTGCTGAACTATTCCTCAGAGGTCCCAGCCAGCATACCATTAAGTGAGTACTGCTGGGGGTTGCAGTTCAGCAACTTCTGCACTGCTAGAAGTTTCCAAGGACTAGAGATTTAAGAAATAAAACTACTATATTATAGATTGACATGAATCTAAAATTAATGGTTAATTACAGCAATCCTATATGTGACATGTTAGAAGCAAGTTCATAGAATTCAGTATAATTTACTTTCAGGGAACTGTGTGATGTTTGTAGTCTTAATGTATGTTTGCATGAAAATAAGCAGGAAAAAATACCACAATTACCATGTTGCAGTTTAATAAACAATGTGCTTGTGAGTATGTGTTAATATGCTATATTTGGATCTCCTGGCTATAAAAAGCTTTAAGTGAAAACTGACCTTCAGCACCAGTTGGATTACTAGATATATGACTGCAGTCTGCTGCAAAACAGAAGTTGGAGACAGTTGAAACATACATCTCTTATTCCTGAAGATGGCCAAAGAGCCTTTATCTCTGTGTGTCCTGAACAAGACATTAAACAGGTCACAAAGGGGAAAAAAGATTGAGCTTTGCTGGGAAGGCTTGTGTTGGGAAGGGTCTTGGAGTTGAATATTTCATATGTTAAATATTTATTTTGAATATATATTTCCTGACCTGTTCTGCTTTGTAAATCTCTATGATGTCTCAAAATAAGAGAAACGTAACACATGCTGTACTTGAAATTATTCTTTTTAAAAACAGTGGTGACTTACCAAGGCTTAAGGAGCAGGGTGGATGATGGAAAATGTCTGCTTTAAAATGGATTTGAACCTTTCTTTCATTAGACATTGCTTTACTTCTTCAGAGATACCAAAATAATTAAAAATGTAAACTAGTTAGCTACAGAGTTAACACATTTCACTTGTTTCTTCTTTATTCTGTAGTAGGATTTTTAAAAACAGCCAGCTGTTCAGTAGTTTAGCATTTTGGGACAGCAATCTTAAACATGGAACATTATAAATAACGGAAATGACTATGAGATAAGCAAATATCTGTGTGCATTGTAGCAGTTCCACAGAGTTAGATAGTTATTTCCATAATGAACACTGGAGAAAAAGGATTAACTTGCTTGTGATTTAGTTATAAACTATATGTTTATATAGCTAGTCAAATCAATATGGATTAAATGATATTTACTGTATTTTAGGAAAATAAATGTACCAAAACATTTTACTACATAAAGCTGAAAAGAAAATGACCTTGCCAAAGCGTTACTGCACTTTTCAAAAAATTATCTTTATTATTTGTATTTTTTTTAAAAAAATCATTTTCCAAAAGATACAATAGATTAGAAGATTAGATTGCTAGTTCTACATGGGGAAAAGATTGCAACAAGTACAGGGTTATGACAACATCGCATAAACCATGTTGAAAGAAGCTAAAGAAACTAAGTGCCAAACTCATGTGTCAGTCTGTCAAACATAAGTCATCTATTGTACAAGAACTCTTCAATCAAACTCGGAAACTTTACAAAATTACATTCTCTAGAATGGGAGGGTCTTGATTCTAATTTCTTTTGGCTTTTGAATCTTACCAGAATTGAAAACAAGCTGCAAACTATAAAGTTGCAATATACTGTATTAGATTCCAGTATTCAAAAATTATCAGAGAAATTTGACTTCTGGAATACGGTTCTGGAGCAAGATGTGATGTGGACATCACTGCTAGAAGACAGGTAAGAAAAATGAAAATACAGGTTAAGTTGTTATATGCATAAAAACTTTAGGAATAATATAATGGCTGTCTGGTAATAGTATTACAAGTGATAACTGTATTCTTGGGTTAACAAAAATGTACCAATAATTTGATAGGTTTAATATATTGTTCATGTGCTAACAGATGATGATTTTAAGCAGCCTTTCCCAACTTGGTGCTCTTCTGGTGTATTGGAGTACAATTCCCAAAGTCTCTTGGCAGCATGGCCAGCATCTGGGACTTCTCATACAGGCTGGAAATTCTCTGTTTTAATCCAATACATCTAGAACATTTCAGGGTGTGTAATGCTAGCTTTAAGAATTAACAGAGCGGCTTAAGAAAATCAAGGACTTTGTTCCTATTATGAAATGTTTATTGCAAACAGTTCAGCTGTGGAGTACTAATCAAATCTTGAAAAGAAATCTGAATTTTACATCCATAAATAGTGCTTTAATTAAATTTTATATGGGAATTAATTTGAATAAAATTTTTGGGATTGGACTGAATTAATAGAACTGTAGGTGTGTGGTTGAATTTCCCTTTGACAGAACGTACACTAATTAAATATAAGTATTACAGTTTTAGGCTGCAACCCTAAAGACACATTATCTGGGAATAATTTCCATCTAAATTAATGATGCTTACCTTAAAATGAAAACAAATAGGATTTTGCAACATTGCTGCTTCTCAAATGGAAATAATTTGTGAGCCTCTTGATATAAACCGTAAAGGTAGATGATATTTCTACATCTTTTTACAGGTTTAATTCTGTAGAGATAAACCTCTTCCATAGCTATATCTGTGAAACTATTCATTGCCTACATTCTCAAGTGATAAAAAGAGTACCAGATCTTGCCAGAGCCTTGCCTACGCTATCATCTGTTCTGAAGCGGAAAGGTAAAAACCAAAGAATTCAGTTAGCATGGGAATCAGCACTGGAGATACTGGGACTCCAGGAAGAAGATTTTAAAGCTCTCTCTGCATTTTTCATTACCTACAGCCAAGATGCAAACTACTATCCTGATAAACAAAGACAAAATTACACCCAAGACATCCAATCTGTTATAAACAAAGTGGTAAAAAATCAGGTCCTTCACCAAAGCCTGTTATGTGCTGTTAATGTAGTGGAAAACAAGAAAGTTTGAAGATATTTCTAAAGAGCAAAAATATTCTGAAACAATACTTTTCCTCCAGAAACATACAATCTAAAATGACCTATAGGGGAAATACTTGATTCAGATTTATCAAAAGTGGCTTGATGCAAAACCTTCAGTTTATGTATAATATGGGAAAGTAGCACTAGCTTACTTTACAAAGCTGTGGAACAGATTATGTAGATAATGTTTGTGAAGTGAACACTAGAAAGCACAATGTAACTGCTGGAAAATTTCTATTCTGTCTATAAAATATTTTAAAATCCTTCTATTAACTACTTCAGTAAGTGGGTGGATGCAGTTATCAAGTACCTCATTTTGTTTCCCGTGTGAGATATGTCTTATCCTTGAATGGCAGATGGAATTTATTTATCAATATATTGATACCTAAGACCTAGCTGAACTTTGTGGATCTAGCAGATTACTTTGCAAATACATATAAAAAATTGTGGCCCAAATCTCTATGAATGTTTACTGAATATGCAACAGCAATACCACTTTCAAATGTGCATACTTTGTGGTAGATGATTGAGAAAGAAGCTCTCCTTGGAGCTGGCAGTTTGAGACTATTATCACCTGGTCTCCAACCTTCCCTTTTTAGGGAAACCTGTTGAGAGGGTGGTGGGGAAACTGCTGGCCTGCTGGAAATTGATAAAAATAGAATTGCTCCAGGGGGCATTTAGAGACTGAGGAGTGGGTACCATCTGTACTTACTATTTTCTGTATTTTTATACTATAGTATAATCACATACTTAGTTGTATATGACTTTATGGATGTAAACCCCAGGAGTCCATGCAGATTACAGTAGTTTATAAACATAATAAATAAATAAAAGACCTCAGGGTGGGGTAACAGTCACACTATTTATGGATTATCTCTCACAGGAAGTTCAACTGGCTTAATCCTCAGTGGTTTTCAAGCTGGCAGACAATCTAATTTGTTTAAAAAGGTGTGTTAATTTTCTCTACTGATATGTTTGATATAATTATTTGTAAGTCTTTGTTGCTAACAGTTTTTTCTTTTAAGATACACTGACTGTAAATTCCTGGTGCAATATATAAAATATTTTCATAAAACAATGTTTTGAGGCTGGCCTTCAAGTTATATAGATATATGTGGGTATATATACAAAATCAAATGATAAGCTGATCTATAGAATGAATTTTAATAGTCATAATTGAACCCCTTCTCTCCATAAGAATTACATCCCTTCCTCTGTGAACCTTTAGATAAGATTACAGATTTATATTGGCTGTCCATCTTGTTTTTAGATCTTTTGATTATCACCTATTAAACCCAGGACCCACTATGTCCCAGATATCGCCTATTTCTACCTGTTTCTCTCTGCTAAAAGTATCTGAGAAGTTGCTCCATTTATTCATTTTTTCCCTATTGTAAAATCTGATGTTAGGTGACAAAAAATCATGATTTCATATCAACATCTGCATAGTCAAAATCTTTAAACGAAATGCATAACTGGTTGTGTTAGTATGAACTGGTTGTGTTTCCATATTAACTTCTGCATTGAAGTAAATCACATCACTGATAAGTGGGAAACAAACGTTTTTATATTAATAAAATCAGAAATATTTTAGATTAAGTACTATTTATTAGATACTCTAAATGATTAACTAAAGGCATAGCAAATATTCTTGTGTGACACATCTATCCATAGTTTACTCTCTTAACCCAATTTTCTACATTTCAAATTAATTGCAGTTTCTAAACATTCTGCACATGAATACCAGATCTGGGCTGCAAAAACTCTATTTCTTTGTTGCGATTAGAGGTCATTGGATTTTTGTAGTCCAGATCTGGTAGCCCTATACATGACACACAAAACCATAAATTAATCACACAATTCCAACATCAGCCATAGGGAGATTAATTTCCCTATTTGTACTCAGTTATGCCCCAATAATCTCTTTTTGCTGCCATGTCTTCATAACACTGCCTTCTATTCATCCTCAATCCATACAAGACATGGTTTAAAATAATCCTTAACTATTTTGGTGTTAAAAGCAGTGTTTTCACTTTTAAGCTGGCAACAAACAGCCATTTTGCTGTGGATGCAGATTGACATGCTTCAGCAATCACTTGATCAGTGTCACAGGAGACCTCTTGGGGATGAAATTAGCCTGATACTGACCACTTTAGGCTGGTGTGGGTACTGACTTCCAGTGCCATTCTTTGGGGCATTAGGACAGTCTAGTTCTCTAAAACTGGCTCTTCTCCTGTACTCATCAGGTTTCTGATCCATTCCCTGGCTCAGAAACCTGAATCAGCTTGAACAGCAGCTGACTATAGTTGGCAGTGTGGTGGAGAGATGCATGGTAAAACAGGACAGGGACATCTCTATCTCTGTTGCCTAAGATACAACATCTCTACCACCACCACACCTGCCAACTGCTCTCCATCTTACTTTTGAATGTGGGTTTACTGCAGTTTCATAAAAGTGCTTAACCCATGTTTTAAAATAGTCCACTGAACACCAAATAGGCATGAGTGTGGAAGCTGCAGAGTGAAGTGGGAGGAAGCTTTTCCACTGTATCAAGAAACTGCCCCCAACCCGCTGTCAGCTATTGGCTGGCTATTTTTAAACAAGGGTCAAACTCTTCTGAAAGAGTAGTAAACCTATGTTCAAAAGCAGCCTGAACACAGTTTTAACACATGTTTAAATGTAGCCTGGAAAACTTGGAAAAGTTATGTGGTGAAGCAACATATCTCCTATTTTACACCTGTTCATCCCCTTCCCATCTGATACTTGTCAGTTGTTTCTTCGTCTGGATGAAAGGTATTAGCAGGTTAGTCCTAATCCTCCCAGCCCTAGCAGTTTAGGGATCAGGGATCAGGACTGGGAGGGTTGGAAGGAGAAGCAGGGAGAGACACCTCCTCACCCAGCAAGTCGCTGATCCCATGCAAGCCCAGTGCTTGATCTGTAGGGTGGGAGACGTCTATCTAGTAAAGCAGGACAGCCATTCCTGGTTTTTTGGGCAGTTCCTCAGTTACCCTGCCTCAATATCGCTTGCCTCAATATCAGGTTTTAATAAATAACCAGTGGGTCTAGCCATTTGTAACAACTTATCTCCTCATCCAGATCTATTCTCAGCAGTAGTTATTTTTCACTGGCTCAAGATGTCTGGTAGGAGGGGAGAAAATAAAGCCAAGAGAATCCAATAGAATCCAGTCCAATCCAACCCATTCCTTTATTTGTGCATAGCCAGGAACTTAGCCTACCACCTTTTAGCCATGCATTTTGTGAGCATGCTGAGAGTCAAGCAGCATACAGGTTTTATACAATACTATTAAAATTACACCCTGATGCTCTGAGTTTCATATTGCACCTACATCTCTCAATGACTGCTGATATTTATTACACTGAAGAAACATAGATTGTTCTTTTAATGTAAAATATAGCTCAACTGGGATAAAATAAAAATTTTAAAAAAAAGATGAAAAAATGGACTGGGATAAAATAAAAAGCTGGTTCTTTTTTTAATATAAAATATAGCTCAACTGGGATTTGTCTTCATTTTGAGTCCTGTACTTTTTAAATAACAAATATAGAAATTATTATAATGATGTAATAGGAGACGTCGGGTACTTTAGAAATTATAAATAAGATTTGCTGTTTTAATGATTAAAAATTAAATATTTATGCATATGCAAAACAACAAATCTACACAGACTGACTTTTAACGTATTTTGGTTTTTCCATTTTATTTTCAAAAATAAATAAAATTCGCCACGGCGGCTACAATAAAAATCGTATACGCGGAGGTCTTTTTCTGCAACTCGGAACAACCAGCTAATCGAATCCTTTCAAGTTAAGGCGGGAGAGGGAAGCGGAAATAGGCGGGGCGTCCGAGCATTCGGCTGCACGATTGGCTGTTGTTCGTTTTCTCACGGTGGGCAGGTCAGAGGGTCCGGCAGTGGAGGAAAAGGAGCTGTCGCCTTGTCGCGCTTCCCGAGCTGCAGCACCTTTTGGGTCCGGCTCCAGGCTTCCGAGCGGCGGCCGGAAGCGGCGGGACCTTGCGTGGGGTCGTGAAGGCCCGCGACGCGCTTGCCCCGATGGGTCGGGCGACGTCCTTTTCTTCCGTCCCGCCGCTGCAGTACGAGGAGCGTGAGCGTCTTGTTCGGCCTGGCCTCTTTGTAACCCGTGAAGTGAGTCTTCGTGTGGGGACGGGTCAGCCGTATAGCTTTCCCAGCTTTTTTTGCTCGGAGAAGAAAGTGGGTAGCGGGACGCGCTAAGGCTGCCGGTCTCTCCTCTCGCTCCCGCCGTTCCGTGATGAGGCTTTTAGTCTAAACGTTTTTCTGCGCGCGACCCTGTTTATCTGCCCTAATACGTCTTAATGAAGTGCAGAACCGGAAATCAGGTGTGATCGAATAAAGTGAGCTTCAGGTTAGAGGCAAACAGAATGTGTGAGAGTTACGGTCATGTATCTCAATTAGCTTAGCTCTCCCCCGCCCCCCACATAACAGCCTCCCTATTCCGAAAATACTATTTTGAGTTAGCATCGCGTTGCTTTAGTTCTATTTAGTACACGGCATTCTGCACACTGGCAAAACTGCTTTTAAACAGCCTGTCTACAAATAATCAGGTAACTTAGTGTTTTTCTAAAGAAAGTAGTTGATACAATTGGATTTCTATGTTACATGATTGCAAAGCAGTATTTTATAACTTCTATAGTTTTAAGCATCTACACAGAAATACCTCAAGAGAGTTCGAAGTATGTTTGCATTGGGAAACAATGTATCAGCCTAATTCGGCCACTGCTTAACAATAAAGTAATAGACGAGGGCATTCCTTATAATTCATACATTTGTTTTTATGCTTTTACAATAGAACAGTATTGTACTATACTAATAGTGATAAAGCTTAGACAGCAGATAACATACATCATGTGAAGAATGATCTAGCAGACATAATTTTAATGCTACTCTTTTACTGATCCTTAACAGGTAATGTGCTATTTTTGTAGATGCTGATGATGTATTAAGGGAATTGTTTTCCCTTCCTGGACTGAAGATGCCAAAAGAATCAGAGGCTCCACTCTCCTTGTCAGACTGCCATTGTAACATTTGCATGGATATTTTTGTGGAGCCAGTCACATTACCATGCCACCATACTCTTTGTAATGCCTGTTTCCAACTTACAGTGGAAAAAGCAAGTTTGTGTTGTCCTTTCTGTCGTCGGCGAGTCTCATCTTGGGCACGATATAACTCTCGCAAGAACACTCTTATTAATTTGGAGTTATGGGAAAAAATTAAGAAACACTTCCCAGAAGAGTGCCAACGCAGAATTAATGGACAGGACCTAGAAAATGATTGTAAGTAAAATTGTACTAGCTTGATACTTCACACTTTTTTTTACATAAAGTTTTGAAAAAAAAGCAAGAGAAATTGGTATTTGGCAATTCACTTGCTGGTCTATTTTAAGTAAGAATAAATTTTAGCTAATAAGAGAGTGATACATTTCCAAGCTCAGAGATTACTCTTCTTTGTGGAAGAAATCATCATGCCAGAAATCATATGTATGGGGAGATAGAGTAGTACGATATAGGTTGTTATATTTGTTGAATTATTTGCTAAACTGTAATAATTTAATAACATAAATATAAGTCACCACTGTTAAAAGTCAAATGTTTTGTTTTTCCTAGATAAATTTTCAATGGTGCTTTATTTTTAACCTTCCCTTTAATATCTTATGCGTGCTAATTATATATTGTTAGAGGCAGAAATTGCAAAGGGTCCAGGTTGATAGAAAAGGATTGCACTTAAGTGTATGCTTTCATACATATTCATATTAAATTGCAACTTGCACCCTTAAAATAATTGGATTATAATAATCATATTTTGTCTCACCTCTGCTTTATTTTCTGGAATAGTGCTTATGCCTCACCCAATACACTGCTTAAGTAAACCTGGAGAATTAAGGAAAGAATATGAAGCTGAGATCACTAAGGTAAAGTAGAAATTTGAATGGTGCTCACTAATAGGCAGTTTTGCAAGGGATCATAAAATCCTGAGGCAAGCCCTGGATTGAGAGAAAGTAAAGATTGCTTGTAGGCACAAAATGCCTGGGTATTAAGCCAAGCCAAAATGTGAAAGCTCTTTCTTAAGGAGTGTTGTAGTAAAAAATGAAAATTCTCAATCTATAAAGTAAAATAACTTATTAAAAATAAACAATAATAAATTTTGGGGTTAGGTGGAAGCAGAACGTCGTGCCCTTGAGCAAGAAGAGAGCAAAGCAAGTGAAGAATATATTCAAAG